GTTTGCCTTTCTTGTGGAGTTCCAACATCAATCAAAACTCTAATAACATCTAAATTTTTAATAAAAGTATTTTAAATAAAAATAAATCATGTATTCATTTAATAAAATTATATTAAAATTAAAAAATACCACAAACACATTTCTTCTCTTTCTTGAGAAGCTTCTCATAATCAATGAGTTCAAATACAAATCTTGGAATCTCTGCAACTTCTTCGATTACTTCATTGACAACGGTATTAAGATGAAATTGATTCTTGTAGTTGTTATAAGAGACAACACAATAGGTGTCCTTATTCTCTTCCACAGAAAAATTTTTCACTTAATAAACATTCCTTTCAATCAACTTATTCTTAAATCATAGAGTATTAGAACTTCAAATGATAGCATGAATAAATTTTTTTTGCAAATAAATAATTATTGTTAATAAAAAATCGTTAAATACATAAAAGACTAAATGTAATACTTATAAAATTACGTTCTCATTGGCTAGAACCATTTCAATAGTGAGATGGTCCTTCTCATGTTTTAAATTAAAAACATCTCATAATCTACATATTCGCAATTTATCTTATAATCTTCTTTATCGGGTGAAAGTTGATCAAGAAAACCATATTCCATATCTCTTGCAATTGATTTACCTCTACATAGCAAAATATTTTAAAATTAATGTAACATAATTAGGGAGAAAAGAAATTGATGCTTAAAATCAAATACCTATTCATATTGAGAAAATGTAATCCAAGCAACTATACCCTGTAATCAAAATTTGGATTTAGACAAATCTCTAAAACAAAACAACAATGAAAAAACTTTCTCGTAAACATAGAGACTTTAAATAGTAAACAGTTGATCCTTCAAGTTCTAACTTCCATTAGTTTTTTCCTTCTTCATGTAAAGAAAGCAATAAATTTATTAATAAAAAATAATAATATGACAGTTATAAACATCCAATCATGAATGATATATTATAAAATTTATTTGCCTTGGTAACTGAAAAATAATTTAAATAAATGGTATATTAATTGTTCATTATTAATATTAATATTGAAAAGATTGGTTTATTCTTAGGAAGATGAAGATGCAAGATCATTTTTTTTTTCAGCATGTTAATTAATAATATAAGAACATTCATCTTTTGGTAGATGAAAAAGGAAAAAACTAATGGAAGTTAGAACTTTAAGAGTCAAGTAACTTACATATTAATTAGTAATATTTAAATTGCTAAAATGATTAGTTGTTTTCATGGATTTAATTTCAGGATCTTGGATATAAATGCCATTGGGAATAGGGCAATTATAAATGTGCAAACATGAATGGTATATTACAAAATTTATTTACCTTGGTAACTGAAAATAATTTAAATGAATGATATATTAATTGTTCATTATTAATATTAATATTGAAAAGATTGGTTTATTCTTAAGTAGATGAAGAGGTAGGATCATTTTTTTTTTCAACATATTAATTAGTAATATTTAAGATCATTCATCTCTTGGTAGATGAAGAAGGAAAAAATTAATGGAAGTTACAATTTTAAGGGTCAAGTAACTTACATATTAATTTGTACTATTTAAATTTCTAAAATGATTAGTTGTTTTCATGGATTTAATTTTAGGCTCTTCGCTATAAATGCCAATGGGAATGGGGTGGGGCTAGTGTGGTGGGGTAAATATAAAATGCTTACCCTATTTAATGCATAGGATAGCATTATATATATATATATAGATTAATTAGCATGCTGCAAAAAAAGAGAGGAAAATGGTCCTACCCCTTCATCTACCAAATGATAAAGTGTATTTTCAATATTAATAATTAACATATTATTCATCTAAATTATATTCAGTTAGCATGGTGAATACTCATTTGCCATTCTTCCTTGTTATAGTAATTTATAATTGCTTACATATTATTAATTTTTTATTAAACTCTTTATAATCTCAATAATAGTTTGGTTTAGAATGGTGTAACTTTAGATGAAAAAAAATAGTTTATTTATCAATAATTGCATATAATAATTATATAATAAATAATAAATATATATTATTATATTTTAAATTATTAT